GCGCACACTGCGCTAACTGCCTCTGATTTTTGGGGGAGGCATGGAACAAGGAATAGAGTTTGTCAAAAAAGATCTGGAAATGATTGAGCCCTGAGACCTCCTTGACCACATCCCCAACTGCCAGCTCTAGACGATGATTGGAGCAGTGCCACACAAACAGGCTTGGGAATTTACTACACAACTGGGTAGTAGCAGCTAACGTTAGAGGCTCTGGAGGAGGCGGCGGAGCTAGTGCTAATGCTAATGCACTAGAACTTGGAGCAGGAGGATCAACAAAAGAAAGCTCCCCATCAGACACAATTTCCAACACAGGCACAGCATTCTCTGTATTTGAAGTTTCTTCCGGCGACAACCGCTGTCTTTTTGCACTTTTATTAATCCACGCTAACATTTTAGAAATGCTAATTTGTGACGTGACTTGCTTTCCTTCTCTCGGGGGCGTGCCTGCTCTGTTATATCACTCTACATAGCCACCCACTGGGTGGGAGTTGCACTGCATAAAAACAACACACGTGCATCTAGGTATGTAAATTGTAAAGCATTAAAACATGGTTTTACTAACAGTTTTCAGTATGTTGTTACTTCGGCATTATTATTATTATTATTTTGAAACGTGTATTACTATTAAATCACGGTCAAATAGGTTAATTTTGACATAGTCGTTTCCACCACAGTATTTACATGGAGAAGATAAGCCCCGCCCCCTCTCCAGCACGTTCTGTTTGAATGACAGGAGTAAACAGCTGACAGCCGCTGTGAAACTCCAGCGGTTAGAGCGATGAGAATGTCCGTTCGGCACCTCATGACGCATCTACTGAGTACCGGGCGGCTGTATATATATATATGGATGTATAATAAGAACGGCGGGAGAGTGTTGAGTACTGGCACGGTGCATGAGTACCGGAGTACCGCCAGCATGCCGGTACTGAGCAAGAAGTGCCGGTACTCCATGGGTCAGAACCAGAAGTGCCGGTACTGCGTACCGGTGAGTACCGGCCCAATTCCAGCACTGTGTGTCGTGTGTCCCCCAACTCCTCTCTCAAAGTTCAGATATTTAATAAAATACTCAGGGGAGTTTCCTGATTTTTCATGCCCAAAGCCAAGCACTAGGCCCTGGGTAAATTAAGAGGCTGATCTCGGGCACTTTTGTCCACTTTCCCTGGTGGCCGAAACTCAAGCCAGACATCCATGGAATCGTCTCAGAGAGTAGATGATCAGTGGGGCCTTGTTTTTACTGAATGATGTGTTTTTTTATGGGGAATTCAAATATGAGCTTATTTTTAGGATTTTCGGAGACTTTGCACACGTTTTCACAAACATTTTCACGCTAGGAGTATGGGAGTACATCCATTCGCTTCGCCTTGATCTGTAGATGTGATTTGATGTGTCGTGTGTCTCCCAACTCCTCTCCAAAGTTCAGATACTATATACAAATACTAAAAGTAAATAAAACATTAAACATAATGACAAAATAACAACCTGAAATATATGTATTCTATCTACACATTTCGTAATTATCTAATCTAGTGGCCTTATAAAAGTGTTGGCTAAAGTAACGCAGAATATATATATTTTTTAATTGTAAATAATTAGAAACATTATTTATGTGCACAAGCACATGGGACCCCACCATAGCACCCCACACATAACAAGCTGTCCCGAGTTCCTCCGGCTGCAGTTCCGCAGACGGCCAGTGTGTGGCAGCAGAGCGCTGGGAGCAGAGGGAGGTGAGTATATGACGGATATGACGGATGACGGATGCGACGGAAATACACCCGAACATATCTGGTAGCCCGAACATATCTGGTACTGACACCGCCTCGTTCATATCAAATCCATGATAACATTTACGTGTACGCAAATTGACGTGCTTAATGTGAACGAGCATTTTGGTTAAAGTTGCGCATGCTCTATGAGTGCACATACGGGTACTTCTCAGGCATGCTGGGTAATCTGTGACGTTTCACTCTCTCAAAAGTTGGGCCATTTTATCATCATGCGCTAATGAGCAGCTCTCATAGGAATGAATGAGGCCCCGCCTCCCACGCTGTATCCAGTTCTTATTATACATCCATGCATATACTGCCACCCGAAGTCCCCGGCCGGAAGTCCCCAGAGTTGGGGACTGGCTTCAGTAGAAGCTGCTGGGACTCCCAGCAGCTTCTGCTGAAACCTTCCGAGTAAATCGCCAGAACGCCGACACCTCCTCATCTCCACCGCTCCCATGTTTTATTTTGTGTTGTCATAAATGAGTCTCTCTCCGTTGGTGCGCTGGGATAATGCTAATGCAGGCAAATAAAATGGCGGCTTCACAAAACTTTTTGGGAGTTTTACGGGGCGTGGTTTGCAATCCGCCCAGTCAATCAGACATAGGAACCTTTTTCTCCCATGAAAGTACCTGCTCTCTAGCAGGGACTGAAAAGGGGGTGGAAAGGTTCTCATGAACTCATTTTAGTTCCGGATGTTTTTGGTGTGAACGCACATTTTCGGAACTATATCGGAAGGGAAAAGTACTCCGGTGTGAAAGCGCCTAATGTGTTGAAGCGCTAGCCAATAGAAGCGCAAGTTTTACATTGTGATGTCGTTATGATACAGAGGTAAACAAAGGACTCCAATGAAGGCGTTTCAGGCAGGGGAGAGAAACTCCCTTTAGAGGGAACTTTGGGATATTAGCACTTGCAGACCATTGCACATGCACAAAAACCGATAAAACCCACTAAATAGAACCCTTTTACATGCAGTCTTTTTTCTGCATTGCACTTCACCTTATGTCAATGCTTTGCTCTGCACATATATAACAGGATGTGATGTACGTCCATGCGAGGAGAAGTATAAGGGAGGAGAGGAATGTAACAAAGGAATTTAAGTGGAAGTACAAGGGCACTGGGTACTGACAAAATCAGTCTCTCTTTAACTTTAGCCAGAACATTCATCCTCCCCTTGTAGTCTGAGACGGAGAATAATGTCTTCGGAGCCATGAATAAAGCTGAGAAGTCCTCAGTGACAAGGAGAGGAGGTGCCGGGAGAGGGTGGATTAGTTCACAGTCTGTGATTTAATGATAAGGCTAAGAATTACTCATAATGAATCTAAATAAGAGCCTTTCTCATCTAATATATTAAAACATGATTCCAAGTAAATGTATGTAACAAATTACATTAAGCCCAATGGAACCAGCCACAATATAGTTGATAGTATATAAACGGTAGAATAAATATAGCACAACATGTAATGTAGTTATATTATATACAACATGTTTAATGTTCTTCCTCACCTTCATGTCCATAGATGGGCATCTATTGGAGAGAAAATATGTTTATGGATATGTTTGACCCTCGTGGAATGCAATTGCTTTCTAATTTGATCCCAGTGGAAAACATCAGTCTACTCTGCTACAACTGCATTAGATACTATTTACACAGCTGTCGCGTTTACACACAGCTCAATTATACAGTGGAGAGAATTGCTACCTATTATAGGGCAAACTGCCAATCCAACAATCATGTGCCATTGTTACAACTTCCTACGCTTATATAGCCACTTTCAAAAGAACAAGCATATCTGGTGCCAATAAACTAGGCGTCTGTAGTGCCTTTAAGGGCAAATAATGTTAGCTCCAAGGAAGAGATGTAAAAAGGAAAATCACAGGAGAGTTCCCAGATGAGGCTCACTATGACTCGTTTCAGCACTACGAAGCGATGAATGACTGTGAAAAGTCAAGAATTCCTCTTTTTGCAGAAATTAAAACAAGTTATATTTGTTTTACTTACTCGCCCCATCAGAGGAAAAATCTGCAAATCCCACTGCACATTATGACCTCATTCTTTCAATGAGCTTATTTGGGAGCTATGATCTCATCAATCAAAATCATCTCAGTATTGAGATGTGCAGATATGGTAGAGACAGCATAAATCTTAATTTAGTAATGGATTATTCATCAGACTAAGTGTCCAACATCAGTAATCAGGCTGAGAAATAAGTGACTTGGCCTCAAACATAATCAGTTCCAGAAAAGCAGCGCTCCAAGTTGTGTGAGATAAGAACCTTAAGTTCCCTTAAATGGAGAGAGAGGAAGTGAGATGCAAAGAGTATTGGCTTGTTCTTGCAGTCAGTGTTTGTGTGTCCAGCACGGGGCATAGTTTGTTGGAAGAACTACTTGGCCCTATTTTCATGAAACTTGGTGGAAGGGTGTAGCTTGGGTCAAAGAAGAAACTGTTTTATATTGGAATGGGGCCAAATCCAAGGGCAGACACAGATACGGCATTGGCGGAGGTGTACATATTTTTGTTGATGTAGCTTTTATGACTCGCTTTAATCAAAGTGAGGAACCTCTTTTCTCTCCTATACAGTTCATTAATTTCAGTATTGCCCTCATTGCTATTATAGAAATTGTGAAGACTTGACAGGCCTGATTCTTAAATTGAACCAGCAGGATTGTAGCTACATACAAATATCTTAGAGACTTGTAAGGCCAAGATAAAACATCTTTAAAATCAGGAGGTATCTGACTATTACAGATACACAAGGGACAAGTAGAATTCAGGCATGCATGGGTTTGGCTGCTCACAGGAACACAATGAGTGCCAACACGTGAAGACAATCACAGGAAAGTAACTGAATGTGAATTTAGAAACCTTTAACTTCCATGTGCAAGTTTTTTAGCGCCTTGATGAAAACTGCATGAAGCAAATGGTCAGAAGTACCAACTGTACCTGATAATACATGTGTGTGTGTATACAAACAACAGAGTATTACAATGTACAAGAGGATAAAATAATGTGTTAGTGAACTGACTTAATGTGAAAAGGACGATCATTTAAAAACACGTTATTATTAGAGTACCCTTATTTGATGCATAATTCCACATGCCACAGATATGAACAGACACAACAGATTACCTCCACTAAAAACCTGTCTTCAGCTCTCTTTGGCCATGGTGAGGCTGCCCCCATGTGGTAGTTAATAAAATAGTACTTCCACAAATGTTTTCGACTCAAACAAGTGAATACATATTATTTTTTTATTTTTGAACAATTAAAATAAATTATAAAAGTATCAAACATTTGTAAAATAAAATAGAGAATGTTATCTTAACTTTCAGTCCTGAATTATTGAAAAACCATGCAATAAGGACTAATGCATGCTGAAGCTATCAGTATTGCCAGATATTTTGACCTAAACCAATAAAAGGTCATGTGAGATAATCGGCAACAAACTGCATGAAGCATTACTAAGGATTTGAGCCTTTCTTTGACCAGCATTCATAGAGTCCATGCTGTAATGCCTGTGGATTACACTCAATGAAAATGGGAGATTATCATTTAATCCTGCCAAAAGACAGTGTTGAAAGGCCTCTCAATGCGGTTTAAAAAACACCACCATTTATGCATCAGGTCCAGGTACAGTGTTGCTGGCAGAAGTCCCAGCAGGCAGAGAGGCACCTCGCAGAAAACACCTTTCCAACATTATCACCGCTGTTTACAAAGTGGCTCACCAAGCCATAGAGGAGAGGTCTGGAGAGAAACATTTGAAAAAAGTAGACGATGTGTGATAAACATTTCAGGGAAAAAGACCTGATATGAAAGTGACGAAACCCCTTAAACTGCTGCATGTAAGCAACCCCCTGCTGAGATCATATTTCACAACACAAAATTATTATTATGTTTTTCCAAAACACTTGTTGGGACAAGAAATTATTGAAAATCTCAAGGTATTTCAAGCTAAAAGGATGAAGACTGTGATGATTTGAAGAGCTTATGTAATTATTATCCCATAACTGACCATACCCCCCCAGACTTAGTAAATATTAAATATTTGAACTCAGTGTGTTGGACAACAGATTGTACTGCACTCACACAGACTTGGAGCTTGTATCCTCAGTGACCTTCAGCTCATTGGCCAGGAACGGTCTGTCCAAGGGAACTTCAGGTTGGCATGACTCTGAGAAAAGAAACACTGCTGAGTTAAGGAGTTATAAGAATTTAGAAATACTTAATTGATCCCCTGGGTTGAATTGGGTTTTGTTACAGTGCAGTTTGTTACCATTAAGTCTCAAAACTGAAGCTGAAATCTGTCATCTCAGTCGGCTTTAAGAATACAAATGTGTTTTTTGCATAAAAACACTTTCACTTTGTAAATATGCTCTAGTTTTTTCACTCATTGATCACTTCAACACTTTGTAAAGGCTCCCTAGAAATGATATTTTTGGCACGTGTGTGTGATATAGTGCCAGAATCATTAAGTGACTATATAATCAGAGACTATTTTTCACCCACCTGCTGTCAGGACTGAAGCAGTATATCTGTACTTGTTGAACTCCAGGTACTCCTGGATGAGCTCGTTGATGAGCAGGTTTTCGTGGGACAACGGCGGGCGAGGCTCCCGCTGGTCGTCCAGGGCGCTGAACACCTCTGCCCGGATGCGAGCCTTCAGCTGGCCCAGCACACCCCGGGACTCCAGCGTTTCCCTCACCGCTAAAATATTCAGGTTATTTTGAAGTGATAAGTAAATTGTGTGAACTGACCATCAGACAAAATTATTGGGAGCTTGCGTTGCGTTAGTATGTTCTTATAATCCGCGTTTGACCAAATGGGCGGGTTTTTCTAATATATGCCGTACTCCACTCAATAATCTGCCAATATAAGGTTATTTTACTTACTGACAAATATCTACACATCTTCAAAGCTGACTGCATATAATAAAATAAACATTAGATACCACTCTTTAATTCGGAATACATTTGATAATTCAAACTGTCTTGGTTTCATAAATAAAATACAATTTATTCCTACTCACAGCTTCGACCAAACGTAATGGCTCGCTGGCTACTGTTAGCAAGCTGGCGAGCATTGTGAAATGAATGAAAACCTATAATTATGTTGGACATAGGCTGTATTTATATGTGCCGAATGAAAATGTAGATGTTAGCAGTAGATACAATGCCTCTTATCTAGTAAAAGTGTTGGATTTTTGAATGGAGACGCATACATACGAGGACGTTAACTTAGCTAACCGGTGTTACTAGCAGTTTGACTAATGTGTTTGCAGTAAAGAACTTGTGGTTTATCAATTCGAGTTGGATTTAAAAGTAGACACAATCATAAATTATAGTGAACACTTACCACACTTCAGTTCAGTGATGGTCGCCATTGCAACAAGTGTAAACAAACGACTGTCTTCCACTTCTTCTCATGCAATATATCTCTGCCATCTGGCGACGAAGTTGTGTAACTACAACGGACTGTTTAATTAGACCCAAAACATCACATACAATCTTTGCAAACCTTATAACAAACACATTCATATATAAGTGTTATATGCATTGTGATATTAAGATGTATGTTTATCTTTAAAGGATGAGCAATCATTCCGTTTCTATTCTTAAGATTATTAGAGCACAGTCACACTGAATATATGTGGATTCAGAGTCAAGCCTATCCATGGTTGCATGCATCAAATATGACCATTTTTAATTAAATTCACTTTGGATGAACTCTGATGCAGAAGTAAGTAGAATTTGATTAATACAATACGTTAGACTCAAATAGACTTTATTATTCAGCTTGATAGTACAAGACAGTACATTAACAGTAAACGTGAAAAAAATAATAAGCTTATTATAAAAAGTATAAATATAATACAATCCTTGAAACCTTAAGGACACTTAATACATTTTGTCAAATGACATAAATAAACTATAGGCTTTCTATTATTGTCAAAACCAGTTTGACAAAAACAGTAAATGCCTCTTCTTTGAAAAGTTCATTGGGTTCTTTATTTGAATCAAGAGTAAAGTTCAACGTGGACTATTTACACTCTGTCATGTCAGCACCATAAACCAATATTTTTTTATATTCTCTGCACACAGCCTGAGATGTGTGGTGAGGGCAGAGAAACAATCACACAGAGATTTATCACTATTGTTTTGAAGAGAAATTCTCTTCATTCATGGTGGTTTCCACTACCGGCGTCAGGTTAAGTCTGACCAGCAAGGTCTCTATTGACTTTCTTTATGTGTTTACTTTGACAGAAATAAACAACAGCCACACCATAGTTGGACGATTGCTAATGTGTTGGCTCACTTCAATGTTTTTCTGTTGTTTTTACCCTGACGTATAAAAGCTCCAAATTGGCCGTTTCCAGCAGAGATTTTGAAAGGCAGTGAAACCTCACTTCCCCTGGGTTTTGCCAGGGTGAACCTTTTGAAGGTCAAAGTGTTTCCCATTCCAGTCTCTGGGGCACAAGAACAAATATCAGTTTACAATTACAAACTTGCCTCTTTCTTGGTATACAAGGCTAAGAAAAGTGTGAGTAAACATCAACGTTTGAGCCTGAGACAACATCATAAAAATATGTCATGTGCTTTATAACACTTACAAAAATCTACAAAAATAATACAGCTCCCATTCCAACAGAGAAAAAGTCTTTATGATTTGTGGTAGCTTGTAGCTCTGGGCTGAATCCTTTCATGTAAAACACGGACTCTACTACTATATATACAATATTAATAGCTTGGAGACTCTACAATCCACTGTAGCTTTCTTCTGAATGTTCATCATCTGAGGATAATAATATCTGTAGTGTCTGTCAAAAACCAGCGCCAGCATCTGTTCTTGAGATTAATTGAAAATGCCCTCATGGAGAGGCATTTTTGAGCTGCCACAAAGCTTGAAATAGCCCAATTTCACGTTAGCAAATAAGGTGCCACATCTGTACACCAGCTGCATGGAACGAAGCGCCCGTTGAAGACTTAGACCAGCCCGGCCTCCCGGCACATCCCGTAGAACTGTCCCCGCTGTGCGATGAGGTTTGCTGGAGTGTCCATCTCAGAAATGAGGCCTCTGTCCATGACGATCACTCTGTAAAATGATAAAATAGGCGAAAAGACAGGTTATAAATCCAGCATTTTTTCTAAAACAACCACTATGACATATAAATATGGAATAGGGCTGTCAATTTTGCGCTATCAAGGCCTATGACTGGGCATGGGATTAACATTTAGTTATGTAGTTAGTGGATTGTATTGTTGCAAGTACAAGTTAATTTGCTTTTCAAAATAATGCTGTCTTTAATAAGACCCAATTTTTACAAAAAACACTTTCCCTTATTCTGATTTAAAAAATGTTTTCTTCAAACATTTTCCCAAAGAATTACAAATGTAGATAACAGGTTCCCAGAATTCAAAATAATGCTTTTCGATTGCATATTTTATCTGGCCAACAGTAAAAAAGGTCCAAATGAAGTTAGGTTACAGTGATACATAAGAGATAAGAGCAAATCCTTACATATATATTACAAATATTTGGTATTTTCATTGATAAACAAAATACATATATAATCCTAATTATTTTTTATTTCTTTCAGGCAACTAAAAGCCCCAAAATATCGTATCGCATGGTATACCTCTAAGTCTATTGTATTGTACCTTGTGTAGTCCATGATAGTGTTGAGGCGGTGAGCAACGGTGAGTACAGTGCAGTCGTCAAACTGTGTGCGGATTGTGGACTGGATGAGCATGTCCGTCTCCAGGTCGACAGCAGCTGTCGCCTCGTCCAAAACCAGGATCTTGGTTTTCCTCAGCAGGGCCCTGGCCAGGCACACGAGCTGGCGCTGACCCAGACTGCAGAGACAAAGAAGAGGGATAAATCACACATTAGATACAATGCATGCAGCCTGGGGACAGACAATGCATAGTTGTTTATCTGCATTGCTTTAAGTCATATCTGTATACCTGAGGTTTTCTCCTCCCTCTGAGCATTCGTGGTTGAGTTTGTCTGGCAGATTTGAGATAAAGTTTTTGAGGTGGGCGAGCTCCAGCGACCTCCACACCTCCTCATCTGTGTAGCTGTCAAAGGGGTCGAGGTTCATCCGGAGCGAGCCTGAGAACAGCACAGGGTCCTGAAAGAAAGGAAAACAGATGTTATTCATCACCAGACTAGTAGCAGGATTATTACATTGTCTTATTCTGCATTGGATACGTTTTGCAGCTTATGCAAACAGTTTATGTGATGAATGCCAGGGCTTAGTTTCTGTTATTACTGCTGTCCCACCTGAGGAATGATAGTAATGCGGGATCTGAGGTCATGCAGTCCGATGTCAGCGATGTTCACTCCATCGACAAAGATTTTTCCTTTCGCTGCTTCCAAGATCCGGAAGATTCCCAAGGCAAGTGAGGACTTCCCTGCTCCTGTCCGACCCACAATTCCAATCTGAAAAAGGACATTTAAAGTCAGTATTTATGTTGGACGTATTTATATGATTCAAGCAACTTGTCTTCCAGAAATCAAGCCCGGTAATAATTGCAAACTGTTTTGATCATACGAGATGGCTCACCCTCTCTCTTTCATGAACTTGCATGGTAATGCCCTTCAGAGCCAACTCAAGGCCTTTACGGTACTGCAGCCCGTAGTCCTGGAACTCAATCGCACCTCTCTGAGGCCAAGCCAGGGGCAAGGTGCTGCCTTCGATACTCCAACTCGCCTGAAAGAGAGAATAAGAGAGGGTGAGTAAAGAACAAAAGACCTCCTAAGTTATTGGATTCAGTGTCTTCAGCAGTGATTTGTTTATGTGTGCAGCAGGAACACTGACCTCTTTAGCAGTTTCCGCATACTCATTGACCCTCTCCACAGACACAATGTTGTTTTCCACATCAGTCCAGGCTCTCACTATCCAACTCAAGATTCCAGTCACCTGAAATATCAAATGCAACGAGGTTTTACTTTAATTATGTTCTTGCCTGAGATGTACATGCATTTGCTGGTTGAGTATTTCAACTTTTCCCATTTTAGCCTTCAAATTGCCACATGTACAGTAGCATGCAACTACAGTACAGTCCCACAATATTGTGCAGTGTCTGTTTTGATGTTAATAGGATAGTTTGGATTGTCTGAACTAGGATTGTACTTAATGATAGTCTTTATAATAGCAACAGTAGACACCTCAAAAACTCTAAAGTATCCCTTTAATAGATCGGGTATTGGGACACCTCCAGAAGTGCTGTGTGAGAATGTGTGTGAGCGTGTCTGTTGGCAGGACCTCTTACCTGGAGGGAGTGTGACACAGCCAAACCGACTATTCCTGGGCTCAAGGTGCCTTTTCCCATCACAGAGAGAATGGCGGCAGCTAAGACCACACCATTACCAACAAACTCCAGATTGACTGCCAGCCACCTGTGGATGTTATATTGATTTAGCTTTTAGGAGGCAAGTACCAAAAAGTGTCCTCATTTCTGAAGCCAGAAGTCATTTTTAGCCATGTAACAAAAAGGAATCGCCACAACTCTTGGTGCTATGAGTCATCACCGTCCCTTATGAACTGTGAACTGAGCGAATGGATGTATAAATGGATTGAAAGCACATGATAATGATCATATAACAACTCACCGAGTGGCCACAAATCGGGGGAAGTAGGAGGTCTGATTGAAGTCCACCCTCTCATTAGCCTGCTGAATGAACCTGGACTGCTCGCCGAAGGCCCGGATGACGCTGGCGCCCTGCACCGTCTCGTTGAAGTGCGTGTAGATGGGCGAGCGGCTCACAGCCTCCAGCCTCCGCAGCTGACAGGATGTGGCGACGTAGAAGCTCTGTAGCCCACAGTGGAAAAGTAAAACACCAGCTTTAACGAAGGGAACCAAAAGAGAGCGCTGAGGGATTTCCCATAATTCCTAGTGAATGTGTGTAACGTCTTTGTCAGCACGTAGGGAACAAAACACAAGTGTATGGCAAGATCAGCAGGGTCGGTTTGGTAGCCGGAGCTTTCCAATAACACATTGTAATAGAAACCAGCTCTTGCTGACCCGCCTAAACATAATACTCACAAAGAAATAATAAAGAATAAAGTCTTTGTTGTTTAAAAGTTGGGGGGGAACGTACCTGGACAAAGGCGTAAAGGAAAGCGAGGGGCAGGATGATCACGGCCGCAAAGGGTGTCGCCATCATCACAATGATGCAGACTTCCATGAGTTTAAAAACGTAGCTCAGCATCATCTTCAAGCCTTCTGGGACCATGCAGTCGATGGCGTCGATCTCTTTGGAAAAGCGGTTGAGTAGGTTGCCACTGGGCGTGCACTCGAAGAAAGACATTGGAGAGTGCAGCACGTTGATCAGCAGGTCCATATGCAAGTGGCGGGAGGCGATGATACCGCAGATGGAGATGGCGACAGTTGTCCCAAAGATCGCAATACCTGAAAA